TATGCTCTTTCAAGTCATGGGAGTCACTGGATTCATATAAATCCATTAGAGGTTCAGTCGAAGTACCAGTTGAGATTGAAGACTGAAGGATTCTATATCCAAAGGCCAAATCTTCTATTTTGCTGAGAAAAGAGAGATGTGTTGAAAAATAAGTCAAAACATAAACAGCATGATGCCCCCTGTGAGTCAGTCAAAAACCTTTGCAAGCCAAAATTGCAATGGACAACATTAGTGAGGTCCTTAGTAAACACCCTGCAACTCCAAAGGACCCCTGACTTCATGAGTCCCTAAATCAAAACACCAACTAAAAAGATAGAATTTTCTACAGATTTGTCTTGCGACCTATTGCCGAGATGAGGTTTAGCTGAAGGACTTTAGGTCGTATCAAGCCACCAACCTCTTTTTTGTATGGATTTTCCACTATTTAACAAGGATGCCACCTTAGTGCCTCAGTCTTTTTCTGTCCTGTGATTCACCTCAAAAACACAGCCGTTATTCACAAAGGATATACCTCTGAAACACCCCTTTACTGTGGGGGCCTGCTCCAGAGGGAGAACTGGTTTATTCCACGTCTTTGATTCCCTAAGAACAGCAATGCAGGACACTGATGCAACATCTGCGCTTGCAGCTTCTGCAATGGCCTGGCAAACATTACTATCAGCAATGTACTGAAGGAAAAGTCAAATGGTGAGGTCCTAACTGCCTCAGATGAGCTCTGACTTTTTAGGAGGTTACCACTGGAGTAAAGCATTGGTGTTTCACAGGTCTATCAGCTAACTAAAATAGCCACTTAGAGCTGAAAGCACATTTGTTAACACTGCATGTCATTGGAGTTCCACTTTTCTCTTTAAATATATTTTAAGTTAATATTGGATGTATGCATCCCCTAAAAATATATGATCTGTAACACGGTCAACATTTTTTATTTAAAGGCTTTATTTTCATTGCCTTGCTGGTGCTTTTTTAACAAGTGCACAAGTACACTTGGGACTCTCAGCACAGACTTGTGCTTATTCTTCTGCACTGGTGGGTGGAATCTTGTTCTTTAACACTGGCGTGTTCCAAGTCTGTTAAGGTCTGCTGAACACCATAGGGCTCCCTCCCCACACTTGACCTCATAAGGGCACCCTGACACTTGGCTACTCTGTCTGCTGGTCGCGCTGCACAAGCCAGTAATTCACTGCCATCTCCTGGCCAGCTACTACTCCAGAGTACCTGTACAGACTGCAGTAAAGCACTGACAGAGATGCTGCCCAGTATCAGCCCCATTAGAAAGAAATCACACTTAAACCTACAAGAACACTCAATATAAAAGTGGGGGCAAAGAAGCATCTAGGAGTCCAGCAAGGACCCCACAGACTCTGTTCCCTTCCCTCTCAAAATTGACCAACATTTCTACAGAGCTTCTGGCTTGTTCCTGAAGAGAACTTCCAGTTAACACAGGAACCTGGTGAGAACAGCAGCTAACAAGAGGGATATTATATCCACAGTGTAACACACAACAGAAGTAATGGCATCCAATCACCATCCAACCAGAAAAGTGCTTCTGCTGGAAAACAGAAGACTTAAGACAACTCCGTTTTCCAGGTTTTCTTAAAACTCATTTGCTGTAAGTGATCTTATTCATTTGCCTACAGCAAAAGTGTTTTTCTGATGCATTAGAAGGCAGGATTTGAAAAATTCACATGAACTCTTACACTGAAGCTGATGTGCTTTCTCCAAATGAAACTCACTATTCTCCAGACTACTTACAGAGAAACAAACCCACTGAAAAAAATTCTATGCAAAACTGGCTTAATAATGTAGGATGATTGTGAATACACGTAAGCTTGCCTAAGCTCTTAGGCAATGAGAATGAAATTGAGTATAGGGTCATGAATTAAGTTACCTTACAAAATGAAGGTGGTAGCCATCCAGGTAGCATTTAAGCATTGCTGTAAAGCATCTTCACACCACCAGCCTTTTGTAACTTGATACCAGATAAATTCACGCCATCAAAACGAATGC